AAGCGTGGAAGATAACTGATAATAACGAGTAAATAGGAATTGTATGTGCTCTATTTGTGGGTGAGAAATCTGGTAGAACTAGATTTAAAGAGGTGATTATCAACCTAAGGAACATTAAATTTACTCGTTCACTCGTTTCAGCTGGCATGACTTCGACGACACCAACCCTGACCAAAGGTATAGTTTTCATAGCATTGCGTTCATAATTTAAGGGTCAATAAGAGGTCAAGAAAAAAGACTCTATAGGTAAAGGCTTTTTTCCTAAGTTTCTGCCATTCAACTGAAAATTATTTTATGCTCCAAAGTACTTCCGTTGAGATATGAACCACGCGGAAAGTTTGGAGAACATGATTAATAGTTGCTATTATCGATCAAAGAGCTGATCAAACGCAACATTAGAAGCAGTTTCCAAAGTCACAGTTAATTTATATCATTCAGAACATTGTTAACCGTTCTTGTCGCACACCGCCGTTAAGGCTTTGAAAATCATGAATAATAGAAGCGAATATAGGAAAAATTGTGAAAAGACAGACAGACAGACGGCAGAACTAATCTACGGGAGAGGAACGAAATATGAAGGAGGAGGTAGATGTACTATCCAAATTATTTAATACTAAATCGTGATTTCAACATATTTTCGTAGGGAAAGGCCAGTTCAGTCATTCCTTCGACAATGGTAATTTTCTTATGCGGTGGACATTTGACGATCAAAATAACAAGTTAACTTTTCATGTGAAAGTTAAAACCACTGGCTGGGTAGGATTTGGTTTTGCCAGGGTCGCACCAACTCAGATGAGAAATTATGACGTAGTCGTTGGCGGATATGACAACGTCGGATATTTAATGGTAAGTCTCCGAGAAATTTGTTATGAAACTTGACTTGCCGGCTCCTTTCTACTAAAGCTTATCTTGATTTCAGCTGCATGAAAAAATTAACAGCTATTCTCATGAGAGGGAATGAATTTTTATGGCAGATAGCCGTAGCGAAGAAGTTTGAAAGTTTGCTGCCACCCATTAATACTTCCGGGACTTTGTCAGGGTACAATTTCTCGCACATGAACACCACTCATTGAATTAACTAAAGCTCGAACTGAAATCTCTCGATCCGGATCTCCCCCACCTTACCCCACCCCACCTCACCCCCTTTTCCATCGCAACTTAGTCCTCAGTCCCCGGATGCCTGGCGAGTCAGAATTACTCAGCTGTGTTTTTATATGCTTTATCATGGCTAATTTACTGGAACGATTGCCGCGTGTAACTGACTGCTGTACTGCGTTTCCTTGCACCATATTTTAACACAGAGGTACCCTCTCCACGTACCCTGCACAGAAAAATTCAACTGTTATACCTACCAGCAGTAAAACACCACATTCCTAAATCTTCTTGTAATGAAAAGTTTAGACGAGAAAAAACCAATTGGACAAAAGATCTCCAGTATGAAAGATCATGATCAGGCAAAAGTGATCACAATATTATTTATAAAAAAAGTCAGCGGTAAGGGCGCCAGTACCAGTACCATAAGATTTATCGAGAAAAACCAAGAGTCTTACAAAAATGTAAATATTGCATAACGATAATAAAATCTTACTTTTGTGTTGTGGTAGTGTAGGAACAGGGCCACGTGGAAAGGATCAGATACAAGTAAAAGGGAAATTATTCTTACTATGCATATTTCATGAACTGTAATCTATAAGACAACGGGTGCTGATGGGAAACCAACAGTCCTCTTTATGCCATCTTTATTACCGATTTCTTTTACACTAATTTTCCTCATTCTCTATAATCAGGACTATTACACTCAAGGACGAGCTCAACCCCAACCTGAAAGCAAAAACGACTATACGTTATTGTCTGCATCAGAAGTAGCTGGATACACTGAGCTAATGTTTGAGAGACTAACTGATACGAGTGATGATCAAGATATAAAGTTCGTGGTAAGTGTTTGTATTTACCCTAAAAGCTCCTCTTCACTAATCTCGCAACCGGATCCTACCGTATAACTATAATTGAAATGTAGGGACCTTACAACCGCTTAGCCGTGGAGGGTCTGGGTACGAGACTTCCCCTCCCTCCCTCCCTTCCTCCCTCCACACAGTAAGCCCTGTGTCTGCGCGGCTAATTGCTCTGAGGCGTTGGGAAAAAAAAAAGAAGTTGGCTGAGCGATTTGTTTATTGAGTTTTCCGTTTTGTTTTCATTCAAGACTAGGAAATAACTTTCAGCTAAAGAAACAAAATAAACTGGTTAAGGAGCCAGAACCTGCTTCTCTATTCTTTAAATTTTGATTATAAGATATGGCTTTGGGCCCGTTTATTTACCGCGACTTTCGAGAAACGGGCCCCAGTCTCAAAAAAATGAGCTGGTGTAGAAATTGGTGTGATTTGGTATGGAATAGGATCAGGATAAAATAGGTTTTTTGGGATCATTTCTGGTTATCTGTTTATTGTTTAATCTGTCAATATTTTCTCTTTTAATCACAGCCTGGTGGTGCGGTACATATCATTTGGGCCTATGGTACTGAGGATGTCACAAGCGCTGACAGCTTTAATGTCCATTCTTCAAAAGGCTACTCTTCGTACCAACTTGTCATCATTCCGACAGCCCCAATCCCTACTCAGCCGGGAGCTGCCTCTTCATTGCATTCCTTCATTTATGTGATTGTTTCTTTAGCAGCAATATTGTTCAATGTTGTAACAATATAATCCAGAGAACTGGCAGAAAAAGTCCATTTTAGACCGCAGTTCTTCGTAATTAGCATGAAGCTGCTTGAAATCCAAGTCTTTTCAGAGTGGTTTTAGTGTTGATCAGCACGATTTGCAGTTTAAGATTAATTGAAGAACTCCTTTTTTTTAACTAAGCGAACTGCAAGAAACCATTGAAACATTTTGATAAATATTTTGGCGTAAAACATAAGACTCAAAATTAGGAGTCCTTAGAGATAAGATTTCATAATAGTAGCGAAAGTCCGACAAGCTTTCAATGGGAAAAAGCTTCTTCGGATTTCTAAACATTGTTTTTAAGGCAACGGCATGTTTCCGTTTTATAATATAGTTATAGAATAGTTTCAAAACTAATTTGGACCAAGTTGTCATATTTAAAAAGGAAGCCATTCATAGCTGTGTGAGGGGAGAAAAAATTTTCAAAATCGCAATTATTTGACCCGTCATGATCCTCTGAAGAAATGGCTACAAAAAGGATTTGGAAATAATGGGATAAGAACAGGTTAAGTCAAGGGAAGAAAAAAATTAAACTTAGCTTTGAGCTTCTCTGTTTGGTAATGTAATTTTTTGAGATGCCATACACTTTAGAGAACCTTGATTTATGTGAGAGGTACCACTATCTGGTTGAAAAATTAAATCATCTCTTCGTTGACTTTAGTTATCCCTGACGGGAACTTATACAACTTAGACGAAGTATCAACCTAGTGATCCCCGGCAAAGAAGATCGTCGGTTACTAAACACAGGAGCTAGACTTCCTTTACTCGCGTCTCTCAGACTTGATTGACCGTGTATGCACGAGGCAAGCGCCACAAGAGCATGCCATGCCAGTCACGTTTTCCCACGCTCGCCTCGTGCCTGCCTCCGCTCGCCTGTTGAACGCAGAAAAGCTTAGACGTCTGTTCTGCAAGTTATTTGAAAGGAAGTAGCCTCACGTGCCACCTTAGGGAGTATCATGAGAAAAACAACGAAAAGAGCCGATGGTTACATGGGAATGCAAGCTATAGGGAGATTTTTTTAACGATCAGCATGGGTATTAGATCTCTTATAGCTTAAAAGTACTTTCATTCGAGAGAACGAGGGTGGTAGGTGCTTCATTCATACTTCAGAGAGCTCGTTCGATTTTTTCCTATAAAATTTGATAAGAGCGTGATTTTAATATGGCTGGTAAGCTTTTTTCCTAGGAAATTTGATAAGAGCGTGATTTTAATATGGCTGGTAAGCCTGCGATTTGCTTGAAAATACTCTGCAGTTCTTTTATCCTCGTGGATGGAGGTTTGCATTGCGTGAGAGAAATGTATTTCCAGAGAAAAATCACAATGGTTCTAGTAAAAGTAATTTCGGGACCTAGATCGTTGGTAGCTATGGTGAGTGTGTTAAGGGCTTAAGTTTATAATTACATTACAATATAACTTGAATTTAACAACTGGGTGGATAATGTAAATAATTTGCCACTGCGTGTCGCACCGACGAAGGGATAAAGCTCGAAACGTCAGCTTTAGAGACTATTTCGGTGGCCGGCCACTTTACACTATCAACTCAACTGATAAAACCAAATCACTTTTAAAATGTGATAATCCTTTCAGCCTTCCTGAAACCATTTTTGAAAGTTAATAGAAAGTTAAAATTATTTTTTTACATCACAGCTGGATACATCTCGCTAATTTAAACATTTAGTTATAATTATAGGCTTTTATCATAACATCAGCTTAGTATTGAAACTTATCAATTTATCCGCCAATCAAGAATCTTAAACTTAAAACCTAATTTTGAAATTTCAGATTTAAATTATGTCGAAACTGCCCATGATAGGACCTATTCAGTAAAATCTGTTAGTTACCCCACTGCTTAAAGAATATCAATAATAAAAAACATTTATCACATCGAAATTCAATTACGATTTGTCAACATTTTAAGGCTGGATAACAGTTCGATTGGGGTAGCAAATTTCGCTCTCCATTTCGACTTTAATGCATCAAGAAAGAAAGAAAATAGATCATAAATCCAGTTTTAGGACCTGCTCCAGGCTTATTTCTATCCAATTTTTTTGGTATTTGCTTCTTTTTCTTAGCTTGGTCAAAGCCACGAGATCCAACTGGATTTTAAACACCCCTGCGGTGTTATCATGGCAACTTACTTGTCTAGCCAATCACAACACGTTTCACCTTTCCACGACATTGTCTCACCTGCTGGACGACCAGCTTACACCTGTTAATTGGTTAGTTAGTATAAAAACAGAGTAAAAAAAATTAGCGCACAGTGATTATTTCGCTGCGTCTTGACAAGCAACAAAGCCAATGAGACACTTGGTTGATGATATCGAAAGTTTCAAAGTATGGCAGAGGCCACAGGGCCGTTGAATATCTCCCTAGAGGAGTCGGTACCATTTGTTACTATTCTTACAATTACTGGAGTGACATCCATCGCGGCTAATTTGCTAATCGTCGGAATAACTTGCAAGAATTCTCAAAGGAGAAAGGTGCATGACTTGTTCACCTTGCATAGCAGTTTAGTGGATTTGCTAACCGCATCAGTGGTGGTACCATTCTGGATTTTGTCCACCATCCACAGTAGAACAAATTTCGTGGGTGATATCTATTGCAAAGTCAGCGCTACCTTAGGCCTAGTGGAACTCTTGGCTCCTGCTATGTTCCTGATGCTGGTTGCCACCAGCAGGCATTGTTCAGTTATCGACAAGATGGCTTTCCCCAGAATATTCAGCGATTTTAGGTCAAATATGATGGCTGTGATTGTATGGTTGTTTTCATTTTTGATCAGTATTCCTCCCCATGTTGCATGGCCAGCTTCTCCGGAGATCCACTGTCTCCCAGATTTGGTGACTAATTCTTGGTATACCACTTCAGTTCTATCATTTTGCTTCCTATTGCCGCTCAGCGCAGCGTTCTACACACACATTTATGACATTTTCATCTTTCAACCGGAGCGAATGAAGCGAGATGACTCAATGAGGAGACGTTGCGAGATTTATGGGCTGCGAGGAAGCGAGCGAACCACTCAGAAAGTGTTTTTTGTGATTCTTATCATTCACACATGCTGTTGGGCGCCCTACTTATGCGTGGCATTGACCCAGGCGATGAATGGTGGTAAAATATATTACACAGGAAAATTTCCAATCCATTTTGTCGCCTTGGTGGTGGCATTGACGGGTACCGCGCTTAAGGGAGTTGTCTCGTGCTTTGAGTTACCTGATTTGAAAGAATCGATCAAGAAACAGTTTGGATGCGTGGAGCAGGAGGAAAGTGAGGGGAATACGACCAGAATATTCGAAGTTTAAGCAAAGATGTACAAACTTCCGAAAAGCATTTTGTGGGAGGGGTAGGTGAATCCTTGAGGGCTTGCGCCGGCTTAACGGCTCAGAAAATTAGATTGTAATCACGTGTAAACAACAACAACTTTAGTCTAGATGAACTTTAGGAGTAGTTTTAAAGCTACATCATCAAAAATTTATAAAGATTGGCCAAAAAGGCCGTTGAATGCCTGTGTCTTAACAATGCACCAAATTACGGTGTATCTGGTTTTTACGCATATAACCTTACCTTTAACAGAACAGTACACCCACATATCGAATGCATTTACTGAGGCTCTAGAGGGTTTTAGTATTTTTGTATAGTGGTCAGAAGCTTAAATCGGTCTCACAGTTGAAATATAAACATCCGCGGACAGGTATACCGCTAATAGCCAAACAAACCTTGTAATTTCTCATTTTTGCTTAGCCGAAAAACTAAAAAGCTGTATTACAGTAGCTATGCTATATAAGAAATTTTTCTTATTTGAAAGTATAATTTTGTAATATCACTGCGATAAATGGACAGCTATTAAAAAAAAGTTGGCTCAAATTATAGTATAAGTTTGCCAAATTAGTGTTTGCTAAGATGTCTGTTTACTCGTTAAAGCTGCCAAACCAAGACGATTTACATACATATTTATGCGTAAGAATCAAGCGATTCGTGAATTGGTTCAGTGGAGGTGTGGTTAACTTTGTTATTCCCGCCCTTCAGCTTAAAAGAAGACAATTAAAGCTCCTGAAATCAAAGGGGATTTTCCACACGAAAAGTGCCGAATTCGTCTGTTTTTTAAACATAGATTGTATGGGAGACATCCCTAAATGTTTTTTATTATTTTAACTAACAGCGCTACACCAAAATCACCTGCCGCATTGAAATAGAATGGGAAAAGATCGGATTTAACGATTACTTTAAGAAGATGATGCCCACAACTGGAGTTCTTTTTATGCATTTTTCATATTCTACTAAACACAACGGCTTCTTGTTTCATTGCGCTGTCTTTCGACTATGAAATGCAATATTGCTCAGTGAAACTGAGCAATGTTGCATTTCATAGTCTGTCATGGTGTGAAGACAAAAAAAGTAAACTTGACAGCAGAAATAGTCCCATATCTTTACAATTTTGCACAGGCTTGAACATGAGATGTAACAAAACAGTGTTTATGAACAATTGTTAAAGAGCGTGGTATACCGTTAAATTTGTTTATGTCGTTATTCTTGCAGCTCAGCCGGCGGTCCACCCCAGGAGTAAAAGCGAACATATCCGAAATCAACGGGGTACCACTTCGCTTTCTATGCTGACATGCACTTCTCGCCAAATTCTCGCGTAATTTCCACATATGCAAAATTTTCTATCAGGTAATATGTGAACTTGGCAAAATAAATAGCGTTAGGTAAATATTTATTCGGCAAGCAAATTGGGAAGTATTCAATTAAATTATTTTATTTGTGAATTGCACTTACTGCTCTTGTGTTTACTCATCGTGAATATATATTAATTTATTATGTTTTCGCATATATATGTTATTGTTTTTAGGTTTTCGTAAACGTGAATCGAATCAGACAAACAAATAACCTGTGGCTGCGTTTCGTTTCGTTTGAAAGGTTCGCTGATGGAAAACTTAACGCGGTTATCTGTGTAATCGCTGATATGATTTAAATGGCATCTAATTTTCGGCTTGTTAAACCTCGAATAAACCTGTGTTGTAATGCAAATTTACTCAACCAATGAATGATAAGTACGGCCAGTTAGTAAAAAGCATCAGCAAGCTTGCAATTGGTTAACTTGCTGCATTCGCATTCATTCCACACACCTTATATCTGCTTACAACCAGGGCCTGTACTGTTTCATTGAATTTATGGTAAGAACCAAAATGATTTGAGCTTTTATGACTTTCTAACCATCCATTGTGAAATAAAATCCAATCAAGGTTCAACTCCTTTTGAAACATCAAAGTTAACAAGATTTCCGCGCAGCCCCATGCTTCATCACAGCTTTGTTTTTGAATAAATAAAGGGGATAAGTTTCTAAATAAATTGTGGTGCTGCGTCAGTGGGAGAGTATAACAGGGTAATTAAGTGTTATCAACTGATTTGACAACGTAAATTGGCCACCGTAAAAAGTTCAAAGGCTGACGTTTGGAGCGCTTAGCTCTTCGTCAGAGCGATGACAGGAAAAGAAATAACAATACAGGGCTTTTGCATGTCTTGTAATTGGAATGAGTAGAACTTATTATTTGTTTTTGAATAGTATGGTGCAGAAATCTATCTGAAATTTATTTCTCCGAGTTTGTCCGTGCCACGTAATGAAAAAAATCTTTCCTAGTCATTTTCAGTTTCATTCTGATTTCAGATCACATCCTTCTCAAAACAGACTTCCTGCTCTCGACCAAAATTCTCATTGACATAGTCATCGACCACAAAAAGCTGGATATCTGCATCATTAAAACCACCAAACAAATATATATACAAATAGATTGAACTACGCTTAATCACCCATAGAGGAAAAAAGAAAACAAATAAAAAACTAACTCCCACGTATTCCATCTTATCCCTGACAACTTCAAATTTGTGTTTGCGAAGCAAACTGCGTTGAAAACTTTGGCAGTTGAGCACCTAACCTTGTTCAAAAAAAAAAAAAGCTCTTTAAATATATACCGCTCTGAGTCGTTTCTCAAAAGTTCGGTTTTTCTGTAGGGTTGTGATGACTTTTTTCCTTTTTTCGAACATTTAAATGAGCGGTTTTTGTGACGTTGATTGCTTAAGATTTGAAAAAAGGGGGTAAGTTTCAAGAGAAACTGTAATGGTGCGTCGGTGGAAGAGTACTAAATTACCCTGCTCAGGAATTTATTACGCTCGTGAGAGGATCAAAGGAACTCCGAGCAGCCAAATTCTTCGGGTTTTTCCACCGTTGGATAATAATCTATCCAATTAATTTCCAATTAATCTCATTTTTTTAGGATTTCCAACCCTTGCCTCTAGTCTAAAATCCGAGATTTGGACTGGGCTCGAATACCAGGTCACTAAGTCTTCGCCCTGAAAATCATAGCCGTCCACCCCACCATAACTCTTTCCTCTTAGAATTACACATGGCGCCTAAGGAGAAGGGTAAGAACATTGATCTAAAGTATGCGATTTTCTTACAATATAGCGTTAACTTTTTCGACTTCTGAGCCGCGAATAGTAACATGAATAAATAAAGACGACAATTTGGTAGTGAGCGATTATTCTGTTGGAAAAACTGTTCTAGAAATGGGATTTGTCGTTCGATGTTGCATTCCACGTGTGGCTAATAAATGTTCAGATTTTCCTTCGAGTTTAAACCATTTTAGCTTCGATCATTGTGTATTTCATGCACAGTGGAGGCTTCTTAGATGAGGGACGTGGCAACCATTTGAGGCCAGTCCGGAGGGTTTTAACGAATCAGCAGACATACTATCACAACCAACTTCTTGTCTGTACCTTCATTTATCAACATTAGTCCTCAGTTAGCTTTGTAGAAAAATTGTACATAACCGTGAATTACTCTCGAATAACGTTTTTTAATAAATCAATCATGAACTTCAAATGTGGCTCTGCCAAGCATATGCCTTCCTTATACCTTTGTATTAAAGTAGAGGTGAATGCAAAGCCTTAGCTATGAAGATGATTTTTCTTACGCACAGATATAACTCATTTTCGTGAGAAGGTTTTGCACCTGGTCTCATTTGAATAGTAAGGGGTTTTGGATTTGGAAATGGTATATCTTTCTTACAGACTTTGACTGCGTTTGGCAGCTGGTTGCTCCTCAGCCTGTTTGAACTTGTCACTACTGATATTTTGTGCTCTGTTTGATTTTACTGCCCTCAAAGAAGCCCTCCGGGGGGAGTTGTCATTTTGGTTCTTTTATGGAATGTTAATTGAAAGGGAGACAACTTTTGGACAAAAATGTCATTCAGACTGGCTGATTAACTCCATGTTTCAAAAAGTCTTGCTGAATTTTTGTTTTTGTTTTGGTTTCAGGAAAGTCAAAATCTGGTGCCTCTGCCAAGTCCAGTGAGACATCTAAGGCCCAGAAGGCCAAGAAGTCTGTACTGAAAGGTGTTCAAAGAACACAGAAAAGGAAGGTCCGCACAAATGTCCACTTCTACCGTCCCAAAACCCTTCGCTTGCAAAGAACTCCCAAATACCCAAGGCACTCTGCTCCAAGGACTAACAAACTTGATCACTTTGCCATCATCAAGCATCCTTTGACCACAGAGTCGGCCATGAAGAAGATTGAAGACAACAACACACTTGTGTTCATTGTCGATGTGAGAGCTAACAAGCCCCAGATCAAGGCATCAGTGAAAAAGCTGTACGACATTGAGGCTTCCAAAGTCAACACTTTGATCAGGTACATGTTTTTTTTGTTGATATATCATATGAAGAGTATCTATTTCTTCTAACACCCATAAACTCCCTTGAGTGACCAAGACAGAATTTCTCCCTACAATATTAATACAATATCAAGCAGACAAACAAGGAGAATAAAGAAAAATGTCAATTAGGGGTTTATTACTTGATCCAATACTAAATTCTCCAAACTAACATTATGAGAATGGTATAGCAGATAGTAAGGAGAATTGCTAATGGGATCTTGGGAGGGAAAGGGTTAATTGCCAATTTTTCAGTTATGTTGATTGATGAAATATAAAATTCTTTCCAAATATTTCTAGATCTCTATGATACTGTTTTATAACATGTTTAACTTGCTCCTTCATAGAGTGCTCAGTTCAAAGACAATTCTTGTTACCATCAACCATACAATTCTTATAATGTTAGTTCAGAGAATTTAGTATTGGATCAACTAATTATCCCCAAATTTATATTTTTCTTTATTCTCATTACTTATCTAGTTGATATTGTATTGATATTGTAGCAAGAAATTCTGTCTTGATCACTCATGGGAGTTTAAGGGTTAACAAAAAGGATAAAGCAGGCTATGAATTGGCTTGTAACACAGTTCTTGATTTAAATTCTGACAGCTCAAGTCTATTTTGTTGTTGGAACATTGTTCTATCGTGTAGATCTGATTGTTAATGGAATTTTTACGGGGACAATGGAATCTTGATTTGCTGCCCCAAGAACATTTTCAGGAGCTAAATAACAAAAATATTACGACCTCCATCGTGTGTATTTCTACATAGTTACATTGTTGAAGGTAGAATTTTTTTTTTTTAATTTTTAAATCCAGCATGATTCTTTTGCTCATTTTGTTTCAGATTATAACAATATAAAATGTGGAAAATGAAAATTAAACTTGTGTGGAAAATGTAGAACTATGAATTGATATGCACCTTTACCCTTTCCACCCTAACATCAGTTTGTACATTCTCCAAACACTTACCCATACTTTTCCCTTGGTACTGACAAGGAGAATATGGTAAACAAACAAACAATCAAAGCTTCTTGGGATTCACTCCCTTTATTTTCATGATTGTAATGAATGGTTAGGCTGTATTATTGAAGGTAGTAATTTGATGTTGGTCACTCTTAGAGTTTAAAGGTTTAACAGAAAGCAAACATGTATGGAGATTTGCTATCAATCAAACTATTTTTGTATTCAGGGAATACATTTCTAAAGAAACTGTGTGTGTTGGTGGGAAAGTATAACAGGGTAATTTGGTGTTATCAACTGAGTTGATATATTAATTGGCCACAGTAAAGGGTTTCAAAACTGATGTTTCAAGCTTTAGCCTTTTGCAAGAGCTGTGACAAAGGGCTATCACTCAAAATGTCAGCTTTGAAAGTCTTTATGGTGGCTAATTTTCATAATCAGTGCAGTTTACAACACCAAAATACCTTATTTTTGTATTCTTAATCTATTGCTCTATGGAAATTTATGCCTGTGTAGTCTAAATTGATTATTACATTCTCTAGACCTGATGGGCAGAAGAAAGCATATGTTAGACTGGCTCCAGATTATGATGCTTTGGATGTGGCCAACAAGGTATGTGAAAGAATGAATCATACAATTACTTTTGAAAAGATTCTATGATCGCTGAAGAATTTTTCCCAATTCTGAGGTTTTGTAATATCATTTTTATTATTGTTTTGCAGATTGGGATCATCTAAGCTTGTTAAGAAGACAAACAATAAAATTTGATTGTTATTTAAACTCAAGCGTGTTTTTTTGTGTTTTGCTATATCTTGCCTTTTGCTTTATGAATTTTGTTTCTGTTTGTTTCCTTTCAAAATGACAGATTTTCTTACAAGAGAGTTCTAGTAGGTTCAAATTTATCTCTTTTTGTACCAGAAGTTTCTGTTTACCTCAACCAACAATCATGAAATGCCTTCATGCTGAAAACAGGTCTGTTATGTACTGAAAAACATAAAAAAACACCATGGCACTGATCATATTTTTGTCATACTTACAAATTATTTTGTCTCATTTTTCTGTCACTTGCTTCTTCTCATACAGACACTAATTGGCATTTGGAAATCAGTGACAGGAGTTTCAATAAATTTTCCATAAGCAGCTGCCAATGATGCAATAGGTGGCTGTGCTGGCAAAAAGGGGCTTAAGACAAAACCCAAACAGGAGATTGTGTGCGGGGTAAATTGAAGGCAGTAAGGGGTCTTAAAGGCAGGGGTAACCAGCATTTAACCCTTGACACTCGATGTCTGATTGTCAATCCTCCCCTCTAGCTGCTACGCATTTCCTTGTAACTTCTTGTAAGTCACAAGAATTTGGTTTTAGATCAAAATAACAACTTCTACCTAATAAGTTTGAGTATTCACATTACGTGCTTGCTGGATAATGTGTGGATATATTAGGGAGAAGTTACTTGTGAATCATTTCTGGGAGTTAAAGGGTTAATGAAACCTGTGCAATTACCAGGCATTGTTGTAAACCAGCAAAATTCCTGTTGAGCCATTCCTGCTTTTAAGATAGCACTCATAACTTTCCTTGCTGTTTTGATATGGTAAGGAGAAAATATGTCTTGATCACTACTGGGAGTTAAACAGCAGAGCCTATTTTCAACTGGGGGAGCTTGGAAAACAAGCCATATCTTAAGGGAGTCTGGGGGCCATCCCTCCACAGAGATTTTTTAAATGGTATTTTCAACAGCGGCTACTCGTACTTCACCTGCAGAGCTAGTCATGTAACAGATACCATGCATCAGATACCATTTCATGCTGTCTGAAGTTAAACACCTGCCTTTAAAGCCAAATTCTAGTGGGTAGATGACTGAGGAAACTTGGGGGTATGTGTTGGGCTTACACATTTCTAGGGTTCCTATACACGGAAAAACCTAACAATTTGCCACATTCAAGTCTTGCAAAATTAAGGAAAATTAAATTTTACGAGAAAAATTTGAGAAAAATGCCCACATAGCATGATTTTTTTCCCCATCATTTTAGATGCACCTTGATTGTGGGTCATGGAAACTAATAAATACCATTTGGTGTGTCAGGATTAGTTGATGAAGGTACAGTGTTAGAGTAAAATGGTCTCATGGTAAGAAACATAACCTATTCAGTTACCAAGAGCCTGACACCTGGAACTGGCTTCAGTATACAGTTAAAATTAAAGTTCTAGAGTTTGTTTCTGAAAACCATTTTATTACCTTGAAATATCAAAGGCCTAATTTTAGGTCACAGCTTACATTTGAACATAAGTTGTTTGGTAAGTATTACAGTAATAGCTACTTTTTTTGTCCTACTTGCTCAGAAAATATTACAATCTGGTATTACACAATACAAGAACAACTAAATACTCTTTGAAACATGTAGCATATGGCCTTAAAATCTTTCTATATTACAGTCACAATGACAGGTTCATGGTTTAGCTTTTTCCTCACTTAAAAAAAAATGAATCTTAAAGAAAAAGTCCCTTAAAACTTATCTTGCCTTTAAACCTGCACTATGTTGCCTCTGCTAAATGAAGAACACAGGTGCACACAATTTTGCATCACCAGCAAGCTGCAATCACAGAAGCAAAAACTGCATTGTGCAAATTACATGTAGCCTGTAAGACTGTTACCTGCATAATACCAGTCAAATGAAGAAAGGCTGATTTTTGAGAACCACAACAACAAAGTAAAAATACAAAAACTAGCTACCTGTAACAATACAGAACCATATACAGAAAGGAAGCTTTCTCATTTTACCTAGGAATTGTAACATAGATGAAATTGATCTGGGGACATCTTATGAAAAATGCATATCTCAGTTTCCCATAACAATAATGACAAAGCTTAGATGCATTTCCATGGTCCTTAGCATATGCCAAGTTGCATTCCAAGTGGGTCACACTGGAACTATGTTATGTCATTCACCCCACACTGAAACTACTGTAATCTGTTTTTAGAAGCAACTCTTTTGTGCAAAGAAAATTAACACAAACTTGGACAGTAATCTGAAAAAGGACAAGATCTTTACAAAGATGTGACCACCACGACATAAATTCCAAGTTTAGACCTGCATAAAATACAGCATGGTGTACACCGGTATTTAGCTCCTCATACTTAGTACTGTTAAAAAATTTGTAAGTTCTCTAATGAATATAAACAACATGCAACAACAGAATTCCAATTTTTTTTTTTTTAAAACAAAACTGACTTTCTTATAATCCATATCTGATTTCCGTTCAAAACTTACAGAACCAGTATTAGAAGCCACGCTTCTCCCTTGCTCACGAATTACCAAAACAATCTTAGAGTCAGAAGTCAGAAGTTCTAGTCCATACTCTCCATAGCATCGATTTCATTCAACAGTTTCAGCTTCTTTGAATTCCAGAACTCAATGTCCGTGGTCAGTTCGTCAATTAAGCGCAATTTTGTGCTTTCCAATCTCTCAGTCTCTTCGCATTTCTCTATCTGAACTTTCAGCTCTTCTTCCAAAATTTGAATTTTTTGCTGGCTGTCGGTTTCTCTCTCACTAGCAAGCACATCTTCTTGTTCAAGTTTGCGAAGATTTTCTCCAGCAGTACGGATCATGTGTTCCAATTCCTCGACTCGTTTCACTGCCGTATCCTTGCGAATTTCCGAGCGAGACAGTTCGTTTTCGATAACAGTTAGCTTTCTCTGGGCTTCGTTCAACCTCATATGAGCGGTCTCGGCGGCGGACTGGGCTTCTTGCACCTGGTGTTCAAGTTCTCGGAGCTGTTCATCAGTTTCTACTTCGGCATAAGTTAGTTCCCTTCCCTTGACAGCCTCCGCATCTGCTTTATCATTCAGCTCTTTCAGTCTACTTTCCTTTTCGTCTGTCTCGGCCCGCGCGTCTTCGAGTTTCTTTCGCAGAAACTGAATGCGTCTATGATATCCCGCCGCTTCGTCCTCCTTGCTAGCAATCTCTTGAACCTTTGTTTTCAGCTCCGAACATGCATCATGCTCTCTTTCAACAGCTTCTTCTGTCTTTGCCTTAATGGCAATCATTTTGTTTTTTACGTCTTCAAAGAGGGTCGACATTGTTATAGCTAAGTTTATCGCTATGCCTCACAGTTTTTCATTCAATGTAACTCGAAAACACACCCTGTCGAAGGGAGTAAATGCTTAAGAGAGCATGACTGCGCGTAATAACCACTGACAGGTTTGCGGCTTCATTCTGCCCAGTCCGTTTCACCATCTCAACACAAACATGCAAAGTTCGATACAATTCCTTTGCATTACTTAAAATGTTTTTAGTTAAGCGCAATCTCGATTAGCTTACGTTTTATTTGCAAAAACTGAACTGATTAGATAGTTCAACAAATTCCTGAGAGCACGACGCAGGCAGAAGTCTGGTACCAACTTGACAATATACAAATCTGATTGGCTTATCCTGTATAGGAAGCAAAATTCGAATAGGTCATCGATTTCAAGGTTGTTAACTTGTTATGATTTTCCACGATCGACTCTTCTAAACACTGTTCTAAATGGGAAGGAAGAGAAAACTTGGGCAATCTAAGCAAAACTGGGGCTCTACAAATTCACGGAAACAGAGAAAGAAGAGAAAAACTCGCGGAAAAGGATTTAAACAAGCAAAAGTTTCAAATGAAGTCGATTCGTTGCATATCGAGCCATCGACCTCGACGACCTGCAAATTGTCCTTAACTGCTATTCGTGAGAGATCAGAGTCTTCTTACTGTGCAATCTCTTGTGCTTCGGCTGATGAAGGTATGCAGAGATCGAGGCTCTGGAAAATAGGTGTCATCTTATCTCGCCTGAAAAACTTGGCCTCTTTTTGTCAGCATTTTACCGTAGACTGGTGTTTCAGGTCCATCAGAAGTGTGTACCTTATTTTAAACTGGCTTAAACAAACGTTTGGTTGTGGAATACAAACACTAGGAAAGGTTAGTTGTTTATTTGTTTTGTTTTGTATCAAAAGTGATTCCCTATTGCCTTCATAATTCTACCTATTTCACTGCACCGGTATCGCATGAGGTCATGGGTTCATATCCCGTACTGGCCTGTGAAATACTGCACATTCCTGTACTAAGCATTTGTCCTAAACTTAACTTTGAGAATATAAACAGATATAGAGAATAATAGCTCATAGCTCAAGGACTTTCTAGGTGGCACTCATTATGACATAAATCATTAATCAAATATGATATTTATCATTCTTGTTCTTAAAATAAGGTTCTGCTAGGAGACAAAGGCCATCCAGTTTTGTTAGACAGGAAAACCCACCTTGATGAAATGGTGAAAAGAATGAATGCCTTGGAGGAGGAAGTCGATCAACTGAAATCAGAACTTGCCAAGGTACATGTTCGAATTAAAAAAAAAAAAAATTTCCTTTGTTACTCTCAAGGCAGATGGCAAATGTGTCATACCCATGGGCCCAGTTGTATAAAGGGTGTATAACTCTATCCAACAGATAAATTGATATCCAGCAGAGAAGTGATAACAAAAACGCAATGCATTATCCACCAAATAGATTTATCCAATGGATAGTGCTATCCGAGCTTTGAACAACCAGGGTCTGGTCATTAGTTTGCTGAAATGTGTATTGGGTGGTCAGAATGGGTTGATTCTCTCAGGGTTAATCTACCATAAATCACAATACAAACTGAAAAATGAAATGCTATAACATGAAATTATCTGAGATGATGTTCATGAAAATAAAAAGTACTGTCGCTCCATGACTTCATGTACTTGTAAAACAGAGTGTAATTTACAAAAGAGAATGTGTAGGGAGAATAACAATACAATCCTCAATCTTCCCTTGCTACTGCAATTCTGAAAATCATATTGAATACAAAAATATTTTGATATTTATCATACAATGTAACCTGGATTGCAGCATTTTGATCGATTGATGGCTTCATCATTGACAAGGTTTTGTTTCATCAGATGCAAAACAAAAAGATCCCATGTTTCCATGTGTCCATTGACTAATAAATCACAGAAGATGTCTAAAGGATTAAAGAATATCAAATGCCAATCTTTTGTTCTTACCACATTTTGAAATGATCTGTGATCTACTGAACAGATATACTCCATGCAACATGGATCTATTTGTTAACTGGTGATCACTAGCAACCAAACAGATACTCTTTGCCTATAAGTAATGTATACTTTGTTCTTTTCAGAAGTCAACTTGTCCATGTGGGGATCGCTGCAACAGATATGTACCAAGAATTGAATGTGCACCAAACGGTCTTCCTCCACCTCCTCCCCCACCCCCTCCCCCACCTCCTCCTGTTCAACCTCCACCAGCTCCCCCCTTAGCTTTTCTCAAGAATAAACAGGTACAGTATAATGAAAGAAGAAACAAGCAATCAACTTACATGTGTGACTTTGGCCAATGATAACTTACTCACCCATACCTGTAGGGCCTGACGTACAGCAGGTGGTTTATGAACAGTGGATTATTCATTTGTTTATTATACCCATTTCTTCCTTGGTGTGTAATTTTTCACAATTTTTAAGTAACAGAATTAAGGTTTGTGCTCAGGCTAAGTGGTCCACCAAGGCAGAGCTTGTCCCAGTTTCCTTAGCATGAAGCAATTAGGAGTATTACTACTCCCATACTAATCCGTCACCAAGTTTTTCCCCCTCCCCCCCTCTCCCTAGGATATCACTAGGCTCCCCTGATGATTTGCCAGTACCCACATATACTCCTGGGTGGAGATAGAGAGGCACTCTGAGAGTAAATTGTTTTGTCCCAGACATTTACATGGCCAGGTCTCAAACCCAGACCTCTTGATCCAGAGTCCATTACATTTACCACTAGGCCACCACATCTACATTTCACAATTGTAAAGGAACAATTAACCCTTTAACTCCCATCAGTGACCAAGACAGAATATCTCCTTACAATATCAATACAATATCAGTACAATATCAACCACAGAAGTGACAAGAATAAAGAAAAATATCAATTTGGAGATCATTAGTTGATCTAATACTAAATTCTCTTAACTAACATTATAAGAATTGTATGGTTGACAGTAAGGAGAACTACAAATTTGATCTGGGAGTTCAAGGGTTAAGGAGGCCTGTAATCAATCAAACTTATCACCTGAAGAGGGCTAACAGTAGGTGGCTGAAGTGTTTTAGTCATTCCCCAAAGGAAAATTTACACAATTGTGAGACAATTGCTTTTGTTCTTCACCACGGTGAATAACCACAACCGTTTTTCAAAAGAGTAATAGATGTAATGTATTTTCCTAATTTCAGCCTGTATCCAAAGCCAATATTTCCCAGGAAAATAAAAATACAGTCTCAAGAACCTTGGTGACCTTGGAGGATCTGAAGAAAGTCAAGCTAAAAAAAGTCAAACAGGTTGATGAGGAGGACAAAGAAAACACTGAGTCTGGGCCCAAAAAAACTGGGTCCACGTTGAACAAATTGAATAAACAAAATGATAAGCACTGTTTGGTAACTCTGAGGGATTTAAAGAATGTGAGATTGAAAAGAACCAAGGAAGATGATGGTCTAGAGAAAATAAAATTACGGTAATTTTAACTGTTTGGTAACAGGGTTAGCGCAGGTCCTGGAAAACCTGAAAAGTCATAGAAAATTATGATTTCATTTTCCAGGCCTGGAAAGTCATGGGATTTAGTTGTGGCTCTTGGAAAGTCATGGAAAATCAACAGGCTTTCTATAAATGCAAAGCAATGTAGATCCAAAGTTGAAAAACTAACTGACAAGTCAAAAAATAAGATTTTATTTCTGAACCAGTAGAGATAAAAATTAGTGCACATTACAAGATCTACGCTTGCAGAGGCTTTTGTTTACACCACAATCTTAAATGGCAAATTTGTGTGCTATTTGGATTGAACCAATTCGTATACTTTCTTAACTCAAATGTAGGTCATGGAATTTTTTAAAAACTAATAGAAAAGCCATGGAAAGTCATGGAAGTTTCTCAACTCAAAAGTGTACAAACCTTGGATAATGGTAGTACATATATATAGTACTAGGCTCCATTGTTCAAAACATGATTAAACTAACTGAAAGTTAGCCCCCCCCCTTTTATTTATTTAGTTTGATAGCTTTTCAGCAGGCTGGAATTCTTTATGTTTTTGCTTCAGGTTTGTCATTTGTCTAACAAAATGTAAGCTCTAACATGTGCTTTATTTTAAATCCTGGATTGTCACCAACTCTCTTATGAACAACTGGAAAGTTTCTTGGGAATGTCCATGCAAAGATACTTTCAGGAAAACATTGTTTCTTCAAAATCTTACTCCAAAATAATTCCCTTTAAAGTGTCTTTTAGTCTTGATGCGAAATTATTGCTCATTTCTGACACAGAACTCCTGAAGAAATGGTGGTCATGAAAAGAAATCTACGTAAAGTGAATATTTGTCGTAGTCCAGGTGGAACTCCTGTGGTATCTGAAAAAGTTCTTGAGCATGGAACTGGTCTCACACCGATGATGACAAGAGCATTGAAAAAGAAATTCCAGGTGAGATACATGTGTTTTCATACTTCTTTCCAACCAAGTTCAAGGTCCATATTGTAAGTTACTGACCAAGTTTTTTTGTGCTTGGATTCGTGGCCCAAACGCCAAGCCCACAAATCAGAGTGGAAAAAAACAACACTCTGTAATTTACAGTACAGACTAGTTACACCTCTGGGATCAAATAGAGGGAGAAGATTTCAATTTAAACAAACTTTTGAATTTACTGGCCGGGGCAAACAATGAAATATTGCCCACTAAACTGCCCAATCATAGTGCACATACAAACTGAGAGATGCAATCAAATGTATTGTAACTTGTTGCCAAACTGCTAAACTGACCAATCCTAGTGCACAATTACTAACTGAGAGATGCAATCAAATGTACTGTAACTTGTTGCCACGATCCCAAATTCTGGAAAATTTTTGTCTTGCACTCTTGATTTAGATTTTAATAAAAGTTATTTACTGAATAAGGGCAAAGATGACTGGTTTTACATTTCCATGTTTTTGATGGAAAGGATGTCGTGTTTTTGAAGGATTTCTATACTGTCCAGAGATTTGGAACTTGCATATCTTTTTTGTTGTTGTTGTTGTTATTTTTTTTAAATTAAGGTAACAAGAAAGGGGTTAATATTTAGTCTTATTATAAAGATACTGATGAAATACCAGAATTTTTCCTTTCACTAAAAAATCATATCCTGATCATGTGCAGTGAAAATACTATTTTTATCTTTCATGTGTGAGGATATTGGTGTTGCCATGGTTACTAGCATAATTTTACTAGCATGATTAGCCAATTACAAGAGAGCTTCCCACTCAGGTGCATGGTCAGTTCTTTTGAAATTTCATTCACAAAATGGCTTCGAGGTGCAAAGACGGGACAGTTACCGGTGACTTTCTAGATGAGCTGCCAAATTTTCACATCAATACTTTTCCCGAACTTGAAGAACATTCAGGAAGATTTGCGGAAGTCTCAGAAAGAGATGAAAGTCACTGTAGCCAAGAATCCACAACATGATGCTATTTTAAGATATGCTTTTGCTGTTATAGAATTTTTCTCTTCTTCATTAGAATTTTGACTTTTTGGAACAGAAAATATAAGTATTATTGTCTTTATTTCTCCTTTATGACTTTATATCCCAGTTTCATAATATTTTTGCGACAGGCATTTTACGATAGGTGACCACTTTAATTGCGCTATTTTGTTGTTTCGAAAATGAATTTTAAAAAAAAGTGGTCTTTTATGTGGGAATTTCATCAGTATCTATAAAATAAACAGAACATTACACGGCCGCTTGGGGATACAAATTTTATCTTCTCATGCTGAAAGTATCTCTCACAAGTGAGCGAAACGAACGAGTGAGATACTTTCAGTGCTAGAAGATAAAATTCGTATCCCTGCACGGCCATGTAATATCCTCTATTTATTATTTATCCACCATGTTACAATTTTCTTTTCATTTTTAGCATGCTAACCCTTATTCTTCACCTGATTCGCCATCAAAGAGACAGGTATTTGAACTGATGAAATGGACCTATCACTAAACACAATTATAAAATGATGGTGCTACATCAATTGTAGCTCAATGAGTGTTTGTGAAATTTAATAATAATGTCACTTACTCTAAAGAGTTTTAAGGTACACTAACAGAGTTCTCTGCAGCTCACTAACATCAACTTGTTTTTTGTTATTTTTTTCTTATTTTCTCTCACCATAGACTTGGCTGAAAAGGAGGGACTGTTTGTAGTCTAGATAATTTTAAAAACTTTTCCTTTTTTTTTTTCAGAGTTTGTCTCCAATGACCAGGTCACCAAATTCACAGAAAGCTTTATCTCCTTTGTCCTACAGATGAAGTAATTTCTATAAGATTTACTTAAGTTCACATGGTAACCAGGTGGACAATCAGGCAAGGTTTGATGCTACTCTGGTTTAAAGATTTGTTGAATGTAACCACCATCATCAGGGGTGATCTAATTGTTGCAACAAGGTCTTTTTATATGCTCACTAATTAGCTGCCCTTTTTTCTGACAAGGTGACACCTATTTACACCTCATCAGAAAAAAGGGAAGCTAATTAGTGAGCATATAAAAGAACCTCTTGTTGCAGCAATTAGATCACCCCTGATGAAGGCACTAGACACTAGAGTAGCATCAAACCATGTGTGATTTTTATTAGCTTTACAAAAGGTAGCTTATTTTTTAATATCCTGGGCCCAGTTGTTTAAAAGGTAGATAACTATCTGACAGATAAATTGTTATCCATTGACTAACGGTAAACAAAACATACTGCACTTGTCATTAGATAGAGTAATGGATAGTAATAACCACCCTTTCAACAACCAGGGCCTGGATGACAATGATCCAAATTTCCTAGTGATTATAAACAAAGGATGGGTTTTTACCAGTAGATGCAGGGATGTAGCTAAAGTTTTTAACAGGCGGGAATCTTGCAATGATAGGCGGGTATTTGGGCCGAAGGCCCACTCTAGCATGCCTTTGGCACGCTATACCTAGATTTGAGGGTGTAAACAAATGAAATAAATAAATAACAATCTTCTGACAACATTTAAAAACATTTTGGAGAAAGAAGTAGTGCTTCACAGCCGGAAAAATCACATTCACAGCTGGGTAATTTTCCCGGCTTCCGGCTGTTATCTACATCCCTGAGATGCAGTTAAAATTCACTGATGATTGTTATCATATTTTATGAAATGCTTGCAGATAAATAGTTTTAGACATGTCAGGCTTTTAAAGTTGATAATTTTTGGGGTGTGATGTCAAAGGTGAAGACCAAAAGCAAACTAGCCCTGATTTTGTTTTTAAATTTTATTTGTATCTGATGATTTTTCATTTTAGAGATGTTCCAAAAATATTTTCTTTTCCTATAAAGAATGGGCTCCTGTGCCAACCTGTTTATGCATCAAATTAATCCTTGCTAAGCCAATACAAAAACTCTTAGCCACTGTTTCTGTTTGCTTAGTATAGGTTTTGTGTAACAAAATGGAGTTTTAATCTTGAATATGTGACAGCTGTAAAATTAACAATTAACCCTTGACTCCCAAGATCTGATTGTTAATTCTCCCCTCTAGCTGCTACACATTTCTTTTTAAATTAGTTTAGAGAATTTGGTGTTAGATCTAGAAAAACAACCTCTATGTGATAAGTTTTAGTATTCTCGTCACCTGTTTGCTGGATGGTGTGTGGATATTATAAGGAGAAGTTACCTTTCAATCTCTTCTGGGAATCAAAGGGTTAAAGGAATTTTAAGAGTACACCTTTAATTAATGGTGGAATGTTTACATACCTCTGTATATATGAATTTGATTAAAAATGTAAAAAGCATATTATCCTGCAGTTCAATAGTGTGATCAGGTGTGTGATTTACCAAGCATCCATGTCTGACAAAAACAGTTCAATGTTCTTAAAATCACCATGGGCCTCACCTAGGACACCCCACCCCCACCCCCACCCCCATCCCTCATGGACGTTTAACCATTATTGTGATATGTGCAATTAAAAATTTCTTTAAAATAAATTTACAATGCTAGACATGGTAGCAGGAATTTAGGCAAACCTTAAAGGCATACATCGTAAGTGTCTTCCTATCGGCCCAACAGTCTAGCTTCCTGGGAACGAGGTCCCTCTGCTTCGGTTGGAGAACGGGAACTAATAAGAATTATGGCGGCCGTGACTTGGCGTGCTAGGAAAAGATGTTTTGAAGTTCTTCAACAAAGCAGCCTTCGCTTAATCCAAACAAATGCCTCATTAAAATGCTCAGGAGATTTAAAATGCTCTCATCTGCGAAAGAGAGGACTGTTGAAAGTGAGGGGAAGAGATTCCGTAAAGTTTCTGCAGGGACTCATCACAAACAATGTGGAGTCTTTCCACAAGAATGTAGAACGAAAAGCGATGTACGGTGTGTTTTTGAACGCCAATGGTCGCACATTATACGACACTGTTCTCTATAAACACGATAGAAGTGGCGACGTACCTGCATTCTTTCTTGAGTGTGATGTTAGTGTGATTCCAGACCTTACAAAACATTTGAAGATGTTCAAACTACGCTCGAAAGTCGACATCATTCATGCAGAAGATTACGCGCCGTGGGTGATATTTTCAATGTCAGGGACTATTGACCTCAAAGATGTGTCGAGTAACTCGGATATTAAAGTGCTGGTGAAGGATCCTAGAGTTGAGCAGCTAGGATTTCGTGCAGTGTTGCCTAAGGGCTTAAGTCCATGTGTTTGTCTTGAAGATGTCTACGAGACAGGAGATAGCTTTGAATATGACGTACTGAGAGCTAAACTGGGAATTTGCGAGGGAGTGGATGAAATACCGCCGGGAAATGCAATGCCCTTGGAATACAACATTGCATATCTTAATGGAGGTATAACTTTCAACTTAGGAACAGGTCATCATTCATTGTCCTGGCAGGTGGAGGATCACATGGTTTTCTTGGGGGATCAGAAGGGGGGAGGAAAGGATCAGTCACCGCCAAAAGAGTTTAGGGGGGAGGGGGACTTTAAAAAAATCAACTGCCAAAAGAGGGGGGGGGGAGGATCATAATAATATTATGGAGTCTTCTTAGGGGGATCAGGTAAACTTAATCAATTGACTCAACCAAAATCTTCCAACCCTAACCATGACCCCCCCCCCAACCACACTCACACACAACAAATAATATTAATATTATTACTTCATTCTTTTCTTAGTTTCTTTCAATAAAGGCTGTTATCTTGGACAAGAACTTACAGCTAGGACTCATCACACTGGAGTCATTAGGAAGCGAACGGTTCCATTTAAATTTATTGACCCCAAAGCAGATGCAAGCCACTTTGAGTCAGGAGCAAGAGTTAGGACCTCTGATGGGAAAGCAGCTGGCAAGGTTTGCATGATATATGGACAGTATGGGGTGGGGCTGTTGAGACTGGAACTGATAAAGAAGGAAGAGGCACTCCTTATAAAGAATAAAGAGGACAAGGATATGGAAGTTATTGCATCATTGCCACATTGGTGGCCTGAAGATAGTCATGGCTTTGTGTGAAATGCTCTGAGTGATAAAGATGCTGGTAGGAATTTTAATCAGATCCATTTAGCCAAGAATGATGAGCTGTTACATAACTTAATTGACTAGCTGTACTTTATCAAAATCTTGTGTCACTAGTAATGAACTTTTGTCTGAGTATTTTTGTCATTGCTTTTATGAAAGTCTTTAAGAGGTAGGAACTCTTGAATCATGTAGAAAGTGATTTTGCACATCAGTGATTCTTTCATGAGCACACCTTTGATTTAGCCACTTCAACTGCAGAACTCAAGCACTTTGGGAAAGGAGTCCGATCTACAATTTTACAAATTTCTCTTTATGTGACAGATTACCACAAGAATAAAAGAACTGTTCATTTTAAAGGTGGACAACATTTTCAAACCTGTTGTGATAATCTTGTATGTGTATCACGTGACACTTAATTAATTAAGCTAGGGATTTGATGACAGTTGGGTTACTTAAGATTTAAGTGTATAATTGAACTCAGCAGTAAAGGCAGACTTGTAGTAAGAATGTTCCTGATATAGAAAATCAATAATAGTCTGCTGAAACAATTAGATAAGGAATTGCCCAGGGAAATTGTGCATGCACATTTGGGTTGGAACATCCTGTGACATTGTATGCATGCAGGTGTAAGCTGTTAAAATCAAGTTGACAGGAAATAGCTTGGGATTTAGTAAATTCTTGAATAAGTAATATCAATCTTGGATTTACATAGTTTAGGCATGTGTTTTCATTGTAATAGGAGATAAATAGAATTGTTATCTCGTAACAGAAGAGACTTGAGATCATTTGAATGTAGAAAGTTCGGATATTGTATGGATTGTAAATAACTCAAGAAATCGGAAAGATAAGTCCTATTGATTGTTGAACCAGCGCTCTGCAGAGATTTTCCTTAACGCAATGGAGAATTCTGCAACAAAACTGGAGCTGCTGTGCTTGTCAGATAAGTACCATTGAAACTCCTCCCCAGTTCCTGTATTCATCGGTTGCATTTGTATCAGGATGGGTATAGGGCTGCATCACCCCTATCTTTCATATTGTGTATTGGGAAACAAACTGAAAATAATGCAAGTATAACCTGTTCTTTCCCAAGATCTAATCAGTAATTCTCCTTACTGTCTGTCATACAACTCTCTTGATGTTAATTTAGAGAATTTGGTATTGGATCAACCAATATTTCCCTTGTTGATTTTTTTCTTTATTCTCATCACTTGTCTGCTTGATACTGTATTGATGCTGTAAGGGGAAATTCGATCTTGGTCACTTATAGGAGTTAGAGGGATTCTTAAAAATCATTTTCAGGGTGTGAAATTGTTCCTAATACAGGCGCCAATGCGACTACATTTTTCACTTTGGCGACCAAATTCTGGAAATGAGTCGCCAAATTGGCAACTGGAATGTTTCATCATAACCTTACCAAGAGATATAGCAAATTAAAAATATTTGCAAAGGCAAATTCACAGCAAACTTCCTTGTTATGTTTGTTTCCAAAATGCAGCAGATGCATCTTGATCGATAACTTGATGCCATCATGGATTTAGGTGAGCTTGAAAGTTGTATATCATCCATCCTAGTGTCTACTTGCTGACAGCGTAAAAAAAGTTTTGTTTGTCTAATTATTGACTATACTTTGTACTTAGATAATTATTGATGATTCTTTTGAACTCTTATCTGACAGTTTGATTCACCTATTTAGGCACTAGAAGGGGGAGGATGTTGGAATGGAATGTCGGTAAGAATCACTTTACTCTCTATTTCTATGGTTGCTGGAAACATAAAGTACACTATGGAAGTAAAAAGCTTCAATTAGATCAATCATTCTTAAAAATCAAAGAACACTGTAAAATTATTTGAAATTTATCATCAGACTAAGTACTGGTAACAAAGTAAGCAAAGTGCACTGTGTTAAACTAACCATTTGTTAGGTTTCAAAGAATTTGGGGCATGCCAAGCACTTTTTGTAAGCATTTAACAGATCTTTCACATTTTTTACAATACAAATATTTGTTTCACTTCAATCCCTTGTTAGAAATATTTCTTAACTCAATATAGCTCAACCACTGAAGAGTACTCTTAAACAATCACACACAACAAATTTGAAGTCATGCCATTTTAACAGCTAATTTGTTGTTAATGACAATGAGTTTTAATGCTCTAAGAACCTGAAAAATAATAAAATGCACATTAGCTAATGGAAAGAAGTTCAAGTTTGCACAACTTGAACAAGCTGATCATGCTTTAAGCTGAAAGCAGTCTATTTTGCTTACACAGTAATCTAGTGTATAATCTCTCTTTGCCAGTAAGCTAAATTCTGGAGCATTACAATATTACTTAATAAGTGTTATTCCAATTTCAAGGATTAAATTAAACAGAAATGCACTGACACATAACTAGAGGTTGCTCTCAACAAGTGCAGAAAATGAAATTAAAAAGCAGCTATGGCAACTCGTGCATAAAGTACTTAACCACAGATGAAACATGGTTGTGAACTTGTAATTATTGGTCTCGCAGCAATGCAAGGTTATTCTGATTTCAAGAGCCAACTCAGCAGAATAATGAATTGATATGAAATTTACAAAAACTGCTCAAAATAGTATCCTGCATTTATTGAATTTCCTTTTGCAAAATTTGTCAAATTTAGATGCTGCAATTCAAATATTTCTTTGCCCACACAAGCCAAATTCCTTGATTTCCCATTTCCTACTTCACATTTCACCTCATTGATGTTCACTTAATATTTGCTATGTAACACAATGATCTTTGTTTACAGGGTTTTCTCCAGTTTGCATCTGATAACAAATCTGAAAGTTTTCTGCCTCAGAATGAAAATTCCTCCAATCACATTTCATGCGACTGCAAGTTTTTTGACAGATTGAAGCTAAAGATACGCAGCAACAAATTCCACAAGTTTTCTTTTGTCAGAAAAGCCCTGGATTATTTTCATCTGTGTAATGAATGCCCATGCATATTATCAAATACCACCATTAGACTCTGACTATTCATGGTATGTATCACCTCTGTGTTAGAATAATTACGACCATGTGCATTAAGGTTGATCAACTATTGCATTAAAACAGTTAATGGTTTCTGCTTGTTATAATGTGAATGTCTGTCTACTAAACCATTCATTTCAATCTGCTTCAGATCAGTTGAGGCAATTCACAGTATTAGATCTGTGTCTGAACTTGATAAATTCTTCACTTGGAAGGTGATATTTAAAGCAATGATGCTTGGTACAAACTGTAACAAAGCCTCTCTATAGCCTTATGTACAGTTACAACTCTACTATGGTTTTGTGCTTGGGCTAGTTCTGACTGAATAAGACCTCGATCATTCGCGATAAGTGTATCCACGAGTCACCAATTAAGTTAAAATGCCTGCTGTGAAACGCCCACGTCACAGTTTTACGTTTCAAACTTAGAGTAATAACTCTTGCCGATGAAATCGGTAATAGAGCAGCAGCAATAATCAATCAATAAAGTATAAGCTAATATTGACACAGAATTGTGCACATGTCTGAATCGAAAGACTGAAATGTATCGCCTTAATGTCACGTTTTCGCCGTATGCAATAATCGGCCGGTGCGGGTAATCGGCCGTGCGGGTAATCGACCGGAAATTACGGTAGATCTGTGTCTGAACTTGATAAATTCTTCACTTGGAAGGTGATATTTAAAGCAACGATGCTTGGTACAAACTGTAACAAAGCCTCTCTATAGCCTTATGTACAGTTACAACTCTACTATGGTTTTGTGCTTGGGCTAGTTCAGGACAACTAAGTACCACAAAGTCTACATCTTTGTGAGTGAGGGAGGGACTCATTTGCATATCTGATTCTTCATAAAGACTTGTTTGCAGGTGTTTAAAAAAAACTCTGTGCAGGATTGATGAAGTGTAGATGCTCAAGATGAGTTCTAAGTAAATCATTACAATTACCTTCAACTTAGCTTCTCCAGTTGCTCCAGTAACCTTAAGTCCCATTTTTGTCATGTCCTTGGGAGTTAGACTTGAGCTATTATTAACAAAAATACAGTTACCCCTACATGTATATCATAACATTTGTCTAAATTAATAAATCTCTGACTCTGCTGTAAATCAAAACTATAATAAAATTCTCAAGTGTGATTGGTGATCACCAGCCTGACTTTAGCACTAATGAGACAGTGTATGCATCATGCATGTCATTGGACAATGTAATAGGACAGTTGACCCTTAAACTCCCATGTGTGACCAAGCCAGAATTTCTCCTTACAATATCAATACAATATCAAGCAGACAAGTGATGAGGATGAAGAAAAATACTATTTGGGGGAGTATTAGTTGATCCAATACCAAATTCTTGAAACCAACATATCGCAGACAGTAATGAGAATTACTAGTGAGTTGAAGGGTGAAAGGGACAGTTAACACGTCATGCCTGCATGGGTGGACAGAAAAAGTCATGTGCACATGCTGTTGTATTGCATTTTGCCGAGTTAACTGCTGCTTTTTACTTATGAAAAGGTATAACCAATGGCTAGTTTCTTTCTCAAATTTTGTCATAGTTTTGATTAATTGGTAACAGGACTAAGTTATCCAATTCTGTCTGTAGTCATACTTGTGATTAACAAGTCTGACTCCTCCTTTACTGTTGTCTAATTTTTTTAATCACCTGTATGATTACAGACCAAATTAGACTCCACTTGGTCTTAATACCATTAATTATTGCCTAGGAGTGTGATTGACACTAATATTATCACTGTTAGGAATTATCCACATACCTGTGTTTGTTTTTCTTAAAATGATGAAACAGAACCTCATAAACCTAGCAAAATTATCAAGTTAGTTAGCATCCACTTGAAACCAGGACAAAGTGTGGACCACTTTTCTGTAACAATTATTAACCACACTCATAGTATGGTACAAAGAACTCATTTTCAAGCCAGGCCATATATTAGGACCACATGAGACAAGTCCCTTGCATGCTATGAACATCTGAAGTGTTGAGAGTGTTCTTTGAGACAGTGAGGAAGATAGTAAATTTTGATTTGTTGTCAAGTATAGGTAGTTCTAAGAGATTTTTCATCAGCTTGGGATATAGAAAAACTCAGATTCCCCTGTTAGGATTTTCACCTTTTTGTGGGGACTTTATGCGGAGGTGTGATCAATAAGTGATTGTTATGGGCAAGACACACATAAAAATGATAGAATATTACTAATAGCACAAATTATCACTTCAAAATTATAATTTTGCATGGTCTCTTTTTCATCATACCTTGTTGACATCCTGAAGTTTTGCCCGCCCTCTCACAAGCTCTGAGACTGTTAAAAATTCTCTCTCATCAACAGGAATGAACTCATGTTTCCCTCTAATAACAGGTTTTGTATCAGACTCTACAATAAAATAGTTAACCTTTTGTAAATTTTCAAAACAGTTTCTGTTAAAAGCTAGCCAAGCAAAATTTAAGGACAAAATGGCATCTTGCATCAATTTCAAATTTCAAGGAAAGGTTTCTTCAGAAGCTGAGTGTTTCTGATGCTGTGGAAATAATTACCATGAGTCTGTAAAGTCCTAAGTTTTACAATTAATCATGAGACCAACTATAATTCCAAGAGATTGCCCATAGCTTAGAACAGAATCTTGCTACTATAGCATTGTTTTGGGCTTTAAAGTAATGTTATTGTATAACTAATATGTAATCAAAACAGCCTTTAAAATTGCTGAAAATAATGATTACAAATTTCATAATGGTCATTTAAAGAAGGAAGTAAAAAAATTCACATATTTCAGTTTTTGTTAATAACTTTCTAAGAAAAAAAGTAAATTATTAACAGATAATTTTTCTCAGGAAATTATGCAAACCCACACAGCACATTGGAACATCATACAGTATAAACCTTGCATTACTTGCTTTGAAATACAGTTGTAGATATGTCACCTTGCTGGGTTTTGTTCTCTGTGCCTTCAGTTTTATTTTCTTTGTCTTCTTCATCAGTGCTCAGCTCAGAACTAGCAGTCTCTTTATAAGGTAAATTAACAGACAATCAGTTGTGTAAATTATTTCTCAACTACTGAAAACAATTGGTATCAAAAAGCTACATGCAGTCCAGTCCCAATAACTTGAAACCCTGCCAACTTAAACTTCAGGCCCACTTGAACCAAAGTGCATTTCTCTATATTTCCCTAACACATGCAATTACAGAAATTTCACCCTTGGCAAATGAAATCAAACCTCCCACTTGTTGTGCCTAAACAGTTTTACACTCTAAATCTTGACCATATTTATCAGTTCATGAAAAGTAAAAACAAATGGTACTGTAGTTCACAGTACTACAACCATAGCAAAGTCACAATCAAATGCTTTGCCTTTTTTTTCTGCATTGCCACATGAAGTAATTCCTAGTCATTAAGTCCTGACAAACCTTTTCTGATTACAGAAGGTACTGATGTTTGTAGATACTGCTCATCATCACTTTTTTCCATGACCTTTTGAGTAAACAGACACATTTTTTTGCAAAAAGCACACCACACAACACTGTAACATTATTAAGAATAAATATTCAGGTAAATGAGATTCAAAACTCACTAGGGGGATGGATGCATGTGCATTAAATGTATTTTGCAAGTATCGGCAAAAAAGTCAATCCATTGCAAAAATAATTTTACTCCAAATAAATAATTTTTTCCACTACACAGACTTTCCCCCCTGTTTTTCAAACGATTAAAATCACTTTCTGCTCAATAAATCTTTTTCCAGTGGATAGTGTAGTACATTTGTCAATACTTGTCACCATACAGCAATTTGTCCATTTGCATAGTATTACCAGAGTATACAACCTTCAAACAACTGGATGATGTATAGTGCTTGTGCATCCAATTTGATGGGGAATCAGTTTGTAATTGAAATGGCTGGATGTCTTACCAACATATCCTAAATTTTAAATTATTGATACTTTTGCTCAGATAATTAATGAAATCTTTGAATATGGAAGCAAAAGGTCAATTCTAAAACAATGATTTGCAGTTCATTTTGAGAAACAATCCAGGATAAAAATATCTGTTCTCCTAGCAAATATCCAAGGTTATTTTTGTTGCTACAAGAAACAAAATGAAGTGGAAACTATCCAAATCACAATAGAGGATAACCTGGCATCTCTAGAGGATAAGTGTTAATTCTTTACCCCTTTGAGAAATAAGCATCTAACTTTTCCCACCAATATCACAGCTGAGTTAAACATCAAGAACATGAGAATAAAGGAAATTGCTGTGAACTAAAAAACCTTGATTGTTACACAAATTCTCCTTGTACCTACGAGAGCAAATGTATAGAAAACAGGAAAGAGAATATGCATACTGATTTTGGGGTGTGAAGGGTTATTACATCTAATCCCTTTTTACTATGCAAACATGGATAAGTTCTAGCTGGATGAGTTGCTGGGCTCAATTGCCAACTTTACTATCAGTAGCATCCATATGTGGGAAAGGGGGTAAGTTTTTAAAAAACTGTGGTGCTGCAGCAGTGGGAGAGGATGACAGGGTAATTTGGTACTATCAACTGAGTTGATGATGTAAATTGGCCACTGTAAAGTTTCAAAGCTGATGTTTGGAACATTGGCCCTTTGTCAGCTTTGAAACTCTTTGTAGTGTCCAATTTATGTTATCAACTCAGTTGATAATACTAAATTACCCAAAAAATGAGGAACATGTTTATGAACCTACCTCAAGGCCTGCACATTTTTGTGAATGACGCAGAAGATCCTGACATGCTAACATTTGGTCCCTTACACAAGCTTGTATTTCCTGTTGTTTTGCAAAGTAAAACACTAAAATTGAGAAGAGCACTCATTCAAAGATTTTCTTTGTTCTCCCAAAAAATTTATTTATGACAATGTCTTTAGATATATCTGTTACTGCTAACAAAGAGGCAATGCTGACAAAGGATAAATTCAGTGAAGGTTTACATGATTTCTTGGATGTACTGTAAATAATCATAATATACAAACCAAAAGGTGTGTTCCAGCAAACATGCCTACAAATAAGATTTTATACTTGGTTCTGGTTTCACTCACCTGTTGTCGAGAATGAATCTCTCTTGCTTGTTCTGCAAGATTTTTAAATTGCACTTTAGCTTGGTTCATTCTTTGTAGGAGCTTTATGGGGTTGAGCTGAATGTTCAGAAGCAAAAATGATCTCTGTGTTAACATCAGTTGTCATTTGCATATTGATCAAACTTTGTTGAGGTTTTGCTCTAAAATTTTATTTTGAACAAAATATGTTATGGTTTCAATGGAATACATTCTGCTGTCATGAGACAAGTTGAAAGATCTTAGGGGCAAGTTTTTCAATAGGCAGCTTACTCACAAAGGTGGCGGGGGAGGGGGGGAACTTGCAAAGGGAGGAAACTTGCAGCTACTGCATACACAGGCAATGAATCATCATAAATACTATCAGTCTTGCTCAAACTAGCAAAAGGATTTTAAAAAAATATGAGGTGACATTAATAAGAAAAATATAAGCAAATAATTACATAATGAATTTATAAATGAACCTGCTCTTGGCCATTGTCTGAAAATTGCTGTGAAAATTCAGTTTCCAGTCGGAGGGAGATGTAGTTGAGGTCTGACTCCGCCTTCTGAAACTGGTTACAAAAGAAGAAATTTGACAAGTGTAATTTTATGGTATGGGTTGGATGAGCACTTTCACTTTGAGCTCACCCAGAATTTTTTTTGGTTTTTTTATTTTTTTTTTGCACAGTAAATGCAAAAAATTCAAATGCAGAAAGTACTCCAACCCTGTTAATATGCACTAATCCCCTCGTATAAGTAGATAACTGTTCACGTTATGTACCGATCGGCTACCCAACACCAATTATGAATAAAAAAACATCTTTTGGCTTACAGCTCAAATTTACGTATTGCAATTATTTCTTCACTCATGGTCTTCCCAAAATACTCGGCTACGACTCTACGGTTTTTACCACCCAAGATGGCCTCCAAATGATGATATTATCGCACCAGTGAGGTCTGTCGTTAAAAAACCCGTATATTCATCATGATTATATGAAAAATTGGACTGAAACTGTCCATTTGGACGCTTGTCTCGATAACTGATTTTTTCTTGACTGGAGCAACACATAAACCACACTTTTTCAAGGGTCTTTCAACTACCGACAGGTTTAGAATCTGTTTTCCCCATTCTCGATTTTCGTATTTGGCGCCAAAATTTGCCAAAAAAACTAAGTTCATAGAATGCACTTCATCTACCATGAAGCTAATAGTGAGCAAAATGACGGTAAAATTCCCTTGAATTTTTGAATAAAGGTACCAACGAATCTAACAGAGGCTCAAAAAGGTGATTAAATTTACCAAAGCTTCCAGCTTGTCCACTGCCGGTTCCATGGTTCACGAATTTTTGAAGAAATTAGGGTATGTAAGACACACAAACAGTATCACAGAAGCCCCGAAAAAAAGAATAGGTCCGCATCACGTACCGATAGAGCCCTGAATGGCGGGCGCACTTTTGGTTCACTACAAGTGTCATCATTTTCATTTATTTGCCTCTTTTCAGCAATAATGATAAATAAATTGGCAGTATCATAACTAAAAGTCGTGGAGACTGTCAGAAACCACCGGGTTTATAGGAAAGGCCACCTCACTTACAACAATATATTTGGAAAAAAAGTGCGGCGAGTCTGCGGCCTAGCCAATTCAATGATTTTTTTCAATAAAAAATCTGGAATTTTCGACTTTCAACAATGCAAATGTTTCTAACCCTATCATTCCATTTATTGAGATAAGAAAATCTTCAATAGCGAACATTACTTCCTTTAAGTTGTATCACATATTGTTAATGTCTGAAAAGCATACTATTCTGCCATCGAATAGTATTATTAGCCCGTCATTCCGTGGCATTTAGGAGTTTTTAACAAGTATTCCACGCGTTCTGTAGCCTTTTTTTGGCGTGAAGAATGGAGAGAAATATGACCAGTCTCACTGGTAATCGCTGGTGTTCACCAAACATAAGTGTGAACTTGAGTACTCTTGGACACAAACAAATCCTCTTTGTCAAGGGGTTTTGTCCTCACGCACCCGTAATAAGTAAGCTTAAGTAAGTGAAACAATTTCAGGTACGCCAATGTCAGGAAGGCTACTTATGAAAATCTTTTTAGCCAGAAGCTTAAGTTGAAGTGCCTGACAAAATTAATCATGAGCCAAGGCTGTACAAAGAATGTAACAGCCAGCCAGAGACTCTACTAGAAATATTAACGGATCAGTAACTTTTCAGCATACGTTTCAACGGACAAAACAAACTACTCCTTCCCCCTAGTTCGACGAAGCCAATATGGCGTGTTTGAATGTTTGTGCGTCTGAATGTTGGCCTCGTTTTGGAGGAGGATGGAACAGGGGGAGGGGTGGGGTGAGTCCGTCACATTATCAATTCTTTTAAATTTCGTTCTTACAGTCATGTGAGAGATTGGAACAGGAGAACATCTTTCATCTGACAAGCGTAAACAATTGAGGCTATACCTTTTTTTAGTTCATAAGAGTTTCAACAGTGAAAGTATTTCAAGGGGCTAGCCTGCCTATGTCTGCCCTCTTTGTAAAGAGAAGTTTCAATTCATCGAAATAAAAAACCGAAAGGCCAGTAAAAAAAAAAAAAAAAACGCTATTAACGCAGGACATACCCACTTTAGAAAAAACCTTCCTTAATCCATGTCTCCCGTCTCTAATCAATAAATCAAACAGTCAACTTATCGAATTCAGTGAATTTATTTAAGTCGTGTGGGTTGTCTGTCATCTTGCGACTGAGTTAAGCGGATTGTGCGCTCAAGGTTCAGCTTTCGCGGTCTTGAAATCTCGTTTTATTTTAAGTGTGTTCCCATCACCTACTTTTCAAGCTAAATAAAATCTGTTCAAAAGAGCAGCTTATGGGCAAAAGAAATGTTCAACCAGATTTTCTTCTCGCCACTCGCCACAGTGCCGTGCTTATGTAAACTTATTTAATTATTTACATCTAGAGAGTGTTACAAAATATACACACTTGAGTGAGCAGTACTTTTTTTTTTCATTAAAAAGGCACTATAAAAGTTCTTTTCATATTATTTTCTTCTATTTACCTTAAATTTCTTTCCTCCGAAATAGAAGCCAGAGGAAAGTAGTGTTACCCTTTAACTCTCAAAAGTGATTTTTTGTCTTTATCTGACACCAAATTCCTGTAAATTAATTACAAGGAACTGTGTAGCAGCCAAGAGGGGAGAATTAACAATCTTGGGAGTTAAAGGGTTAAAGAGCAACGTAATAATTTTCTTCCATATATATACGAAAAAAACCAACTTAACTTTACAAATAAATAGCTATACAGAAGCGCGATTATAAATCGAGTGTCGAACGAAATCAGGGATTTCTTGAGTTAACTTTGCTTCCTTCTGTGATTGGTCAAGAAATATCGTATCACTTTCTCCACCAATCAGACGCTACGTAACACCATTAGTCATGTGATGACACGTGATATCCAACACTCCTGGCACATGAGTTCACATGGGCTCCTTGTGGCGCAGTATTTTCCTTTTTTCTAAGACTGGCCTTAGTGGTTCCTCTGTTTTCGGTCTGACGACACATTTCAATCGAAATGCGCTCTAAAGCAGGGAGGGGATGATCACCCTACGCCATACCAAGGGTTGTGCCGAACATCGCATGGAATAACAAAGCTGCTAAATCGTCTTGAAGAGTCCGTGTCTCAGTAAACGTCTTCTCTGACGACGCGGAGAGCTTTGCGTGCCGTTACTTGTTGTTGGCAACAATATAGAGAGGAGACGATCTAAGTTTATCTGTGGCCTTGGTCTTCTTTTCTCTTTCACGCATTCGTGATCCTCACAGATAAGTCGTGCTTCGTCGCATGGACAATCGGTGTCAACTTCACAAAAATTCTTGTAGATACGGTGGCACTGAAAAATAATTGGTTCTGTTTAGTATACAACAAATCACCAAGGAAGTCGTTTATTTTAAGAAATTTCCTGTCAACTAAAGTACTCTAATGCCCTCTCGCAATTCAACCCAATCCCCAAGGACCTCCTCAAAATAATTCTAGAAAGATCGTCGGAAGTTGTTCTCAAACTGAGGGCGGTCTATTTATAACATAACCTTAGAATGACAGCTGGAGAATGGGAAAGTCGAGAATAAGCTTTTCATCATAATCTTTGGAAATTACATAATATTTCTATGAATTCGGACTCTGTTCTATCACCGCAGATTCCTTTCACGGTATCAGAAAGATCTTTCAGTGTTGTAAAGTTATCGTTGAAACAGTTAACCAATGCAACTTACTGGCTGCATCCTCTGGATTATGTCCCTAAATTCTTCCTTCTCGCATCGAAATCGGGTATTACATATCAAGGAACTTTTGTTGTGACGGTTAAGACATGCGCAATCGATGTCTTCACTACAATTGCGACCGCGAATTTTGCCACACTGAAAAACAAACGGGAAAGAACATCGATCACAAACAGCACACATTGGTATCTCTAAAATCCCCCGTAACGTTTGAACTCATGACCCTCAGAGGAGGGCAATTTTGTATTTTACGCCGACTGAAATACGGCTTAATAATAAAAGTTAAGTTGACGAGCACAGATCCGTGTGATGTGATATGTCGTCAACTCAAAAGTCCCAAGCTGTGTGCACGAATATTTCAACATTTGAAAGGCTAAGACGTGGAAACCCGAGTAATATGTTAAAATAATTCAAAACCCCTGAACCCGAGGAATCTTTAAAGGAAGATAAAACGTTTTCATCACTTGGACGCAACGAGAAATGCTGCCAAAAATTCCTCATAAAAAAAGGAGCGAGAACTTGAAGACTGCTACACTTACGAGCACATAGTCTGGAAAACGTTAAGATGAAAAGGCGTTATTATCCTTCCCTCAACCGCTGGGCTGATGAAACAACGAAGTAGCCAAGGAAAGGGGGAAGGTCTAATGATGTATCTTACCCCCCTCCCCCTGGTATGTCTAAATCTCAGTATGCTCTTAAACTCCAGTGGGTCGCTAAAGTAGCCCCCCGTTCTACCTTCTTAACCCCCCCCCCCCCCGCCCCTCGCGTCAAAAAATCTTGTCCAATTCACTGCATGCTGCGTGATTAATTAGAGACGGATAAGAGCTTTCATCATTATGTCATGGAGAAGGAATCCTTAATCCTTTCAAGAGCCTAGCATTATAACATATAGGTCATACACGTGTCAACAAAAACCTGCACACGCCAGAAAGAGATGGAAATGATAAAAATTGTGTAATGAAAACGTCATCGGAATGTACAAGAACGAAGACATGAGTTACATAACAGAACTCTCTCATGTGACGAAAAACGCTTGGTAGAAACAAACAAACAAAAATACCAAAGAAAAATAATGGAAAAAAAAACGTGGGGATAGGGCTTTCTTTCGATAATTCAGTGATGCAGAACTAAAAAGGAAGATTACGATTGCTCAATATTTCAAGTACGGTCCCCCACTGGTTTTCTGCCAAAGTAATAACTAAAACTTCAGTTTTTCTAGGAATATACGATACGCTTCAGAGTCATTTTTTTGTACATAAGGTGCTTGCTGTTTAAATAAGACACACATTACCCAACTCAGCCCTTGAGGAAGTAGAGAGCAAATACAAGGAGCTGGACGGAAAGCAGAACAGGAAAAACAAAACTTACTTTTGGAGGACTTGGTGCGGCTTCAGTCCAAGCCAAGAACGCAAACACAACAAAGAAAATATTCATCGTCTTTACTGTAGCGCACTTTTCAGGCAACCTTGAACCAAAGGAAACAGAAGAGCATTAAGAACAGAGAATGGGTCAGTTTACCAAGACTTGTTAAGGCGATGACTACAATTTTCGAGGATGGTTGTTGAATGACGCGTTTTAACAGATCACAAGCTGAATGATCCTTTGAAAAAATACCCCTTTGCCTTAAGGTTAATGTTAAGTAACATAAATGGGATTATTACGGTAATATTCGGCAAATCTGCTATCATAATTAAGAGCGCACTGTTGTTTCTTGGACTCAATAGTCTACAGGTGTCAAAAGGCAGCCCATTTTATCACGAACGCGCAAAAGATTGCTAATTTTTTACTGAAAAACTCAATTGTTTACGTTTTTAACATGAGCTGTAAAATATCGGCTCACAAGCATCGTCTTAACTTGCAAATTAGTGGAGAACAACGAGAAAATTTCCACAGATAAAGGAGATTCCCTTTTTTTATCTTTCAACATTGAGTAATTTGACTGCACTTTCTTCTGCGCAAAAGCATCTTAAGTAGTCTAAATTTCATCATAAGAGGAGCATGGAACGTGAAATATTCGACAAACAAAGAACGTTTTTTATGAGGAAGATCAGTCACTAGAGTAAATAAAGGATCATAAAAAAGACTATGAACATCCAAGCCACCGCCCTCGAATTTAAGACATAATGTCACGGAACATGAACACTGATTTTATATGCTTTTTCACATTTCGCGTAAAATTGTTGCTGGAAACGATGGACTGGATAAAAGGATACATAACGAACACAGTAGCAGGGTGAGAATTGAATCTTAACAGACTGGTTAAGACTGCACCACGAAAGAAAACTTAACAGGAAAAAGATACCTATACTCTCGCGTACTTTTCCGGCTCCGATCGAATTGAATAAATCTAACAAAAAAGTAAAAACCATTTCCTTTTCACAACAAAAGAAAATATTTTCAAATTTATCCTTCCTTGGCTGAAAAACAGACAACAAAAGCTCAACTTTTGCCATTTGCCTCAAGCGTAAACATGATTTTTTTTTCTTATGTCCATAAAATACCTCTCGAAAACTTGGCATACCCAAGACGTTGTTTCCATTGTCCCATGAACTCTTAATCTTTGATAATACGTCTGTACAGGTCCTTCAATAAAAGTGGTGCGAATCTACCCCTTGGAACTTATACATTTTCAAGACATTCGTGACAGTATGGAGAGACGGAGTCGTTGTTGAGAGATATCTTTGTGCGTCACAATATCGGTGAACTATATTTAGGTGTAAGCAAAAGGCAAATAGATCAAATTTTTGACCTGCCGAAGATATAGATTGCCAAATAAAGAGAGGTGTAGAAAATCGAACAACCAGAAATCTTGGGGGAAGAAGCGAAGAAAATTCAAGCTCTGACGGGAGAAATCAACACTATGCTTCCAAGGTACTTGTTAGGCATCACTACGATCTGAGCACGATGCCACATGTCGGCAGAGAGGAAATTCTAAGTTTAAACATACTTATGCCTCAATAACGATAATTTATCACGTCATTAGTTAAAGAACTCATATTTAGAATTAAGAAACACTGAGCTAAAAGCATAAGAAGATGTTAAGCAATACCGAACATTTGCTCCGAGTGCAGGAAAAATGTGAGTTCTTTGTGAAGGCTCCATCTTGAAATCTTCCAACTGTGACGTCGGTTGGTCAGAAAACTAGCTGATAAGCTTATTAATATACTCGGTTAATACGGAACAAGCATGCTGCGTTGTACCAACAAAAGCAATTCCGAAAGCCTCTCGTAAGAAGAGAGAGTGAGATGGTGGGATTTGAGTTCGGAGGATAGACCTGTTTGTAAGCGGTTGGATGTGGTTGGAAATGCGTAAAACTTGAGGGGAAACATCACGTTTATACCATTTTCCTAACAGTCTAGTCACGGGAATTCAGAGACATGCAATAAAAACAGTTAGAGGAAGGCGGAAGATTGCAGAAAGGAGAGGAACATCCGTTCTTGTTGTTTGAAATGACGCAATGGCAAACCACACTAACTCAAAACAATTGATTGTGAATTTTCCGTTTTCTCGCCTACGCCAGCTGTTTACAACAATTCTGTACTATTTCCAATACCTAGAGCTGCTACTTAAGTGACACATTTTTCTTTTGCGGTTGTTTGAGAGAATGCGTTAAGTACTTAAGCAGATGAAACACTGAGAGGACAGGATGGGCTCGCGTGTACGACTCATATCCGCCAGGAAAAAAACGCGAGCATAACACGAGTTTTTAAGGTGAGTGAGGACAAAAGAAAAAGCCCACTCGACAAACGCCGAATTATGAATAATTCAATGGCTTGCTGAGATGAAAGCGTATTTCTTTACAGCGCAAAATAACTGCGGTTTGACACACAAACTAACGGAACAAAGAGAAATATTTGTCTTCGCCAAACATAACTGTGGTTTCATACCAACTTGTCGAGTGCGCCGACTTCTGTTTAAATTATTACAGTACTAAGACATTTCAAGAAAATTTTCTGACGAGAAAAAAAAACAGTCCTTGTTAGTCAGCCCCTCCCTCCCCCTCCCCAAAATAAAAAAAAGGAAAAAAGAAAACTGATAGACGCGTTGTTTTAATCCAGGCCGTTACACAACGATTAAATGTCCTCAAAAATTTGCCCTGTATTTTTCTGTACATCTTTCTTTTCAAGAGATGTTGGTATACTTCATATGAAAGGCGAGGAAAGTTGAAAATGAATTAAGATCACAAAAACATCATGGCATCATAACTTCCTGAATGTATAGCTCACCAAAATTATAGCAGAAGAACCTGGCTTTCGTCAATCTCGATCTATGACATGCAACTGCCAAATGAAAACGTATTCTCGTTTACTTTTAAAGACACGCGGATAATTAGGAATGGCTGAATAAGGAAACATATTTGATTAAACGCATTTTTTAAAGCAGAGAAGTATAAATTTCGGATATGAAAAAACAATTTAAAAAATGATTGATTCTTACGCTTACGAAAACAAAATGGTTAGATATCTATCCATTATACTTTTAATCTGCATAGCTTTAGCTAAAAGTTGATGGTCCTTCTTAAAAGGGAAGGAAACTAAATAACCACATTAACAAGTACAAAAGAGAGTGCATGGCGAAGGGAAATAGTAACATTGTTTAAACAAACCACGTAGGCAGTTTTCGCAGTAATACAGAGGCAGTTGTACACGTAATTCACATGAAAAAATTAAATTGGGTTCACACTTCATAAATACCTTTTAAAGAACTTTCTCAGTCGGATACTCGAAATCAAATGCTCTCTCTCTCTATTGCTTCTCTTGAAGTGTTTTGTTACAGTGTAAGGATTGTGTTTGACCTTTCCTTCACTGACGTAATAACCGAACTACTTAATTCCGAGACGATTTAAACATTTATACTTGTGCCGAGACATATCATGCCGAATTAAGAATGTCTGACATTCACTGAACAATACCACTCCTTCAAATAGGGCTACCACAACTAAGTGAATGCTTGAGGTCAACTAACCATGAATAGAAAATGAAATACTTCTGTGATTTGTAATGTCATACCTCACGTGTCTTTTATGTTCCTCACTATTCTTCTATATTCCTTGTTTTGTTTGGTCCACCTGCTTTTAAAAGAAAGGAAAATAACCCAATGATGAAAATGTGCCGTGAAAGGCACATCCAGAAGTGAAGAATCATTCAATGCTTCTTTCAAAGCTTACGTTACAGTGCATTGAGAATCTTTCAACAGTAAAACACGGATCAAAGCTATCATCCAAAGCAACTAAGCCGGAATGAACGAGGAATTTTGTTTACGAATTTTCTAGAAATTAAATCACAGTGCCGAACTGTCCAACGAAACCGTAAACTATGAGTGCTGAAACCATCTTTGCGCCGTAAAACATCCTGCCGGATACAGGAAATCCTGAATTCCGACTAAATGTTCATCAAAGATCGATCATGATCTAAAAACTGTTTCAAATTATCACAAACGAAAGCATAACTATTCTTGTTTCCTTTCTGCGTGAGGGGGTAGTGGCTGGGTTTACGATAATAACGACAGAGGCTTCCCGCAGATTCATTTATGTTTAGTAATTTAACGAGCCTACTGTGCAGTTTTATTACAACCTGATGAGTTAGAAAGATACACACCATAGATAAACACATTTTACAAATGACTGGGATGAGTTCACGTGCATTTTGTTGAAAGGTGTTTGATTTTCTCGTTGATCCCCACTTTAATTGAAAGTTAGTAAAATGACTGAGTCAAATCTATTATATACGAGTATTTTAGTACATGGATACCTTAATAAGACCTCAAGCTTTGTAAGTTGCCACACAATAGAGAGAAAATATTAACAAAAGGTCAAAAAAGGATTCGACATTAATTCCATATCGGCAAAATCATAGTAACATCATAGGAACATCATAGGAACATGTCTGTATGACTTGAATATGATAGAAGAACAAAAATTTAAAAAAAAATCAATATTCCAAAACAGACTTGCAAATCACGGTAGAAAAATCTAGAGAAGTTACTTCAATTACTAAAAGGAAGAAAGATAACATTAGAATGCTAAAAAAACTACGAGTTGCACAGATGATATCTTCTTTTGAGAACTGCACGACTTGTTCTTCTGTCAGTGAACCATCGGAAGAATATAAATAATTTAGATGTTTCAAACACGGGATTACCAGTGTCTTTGATGTTAACGAGCCGCCAAGCGACAGGGAACACCTTTGCCTCTACACAAATGAGTTAGTCACGAATCTCTTCTTGGTACTTTCTATCGTCCAACTAAATGCCACTCTTCTTTCTCAGTTAATCTGCAAAAATCATCAAACTGCCTCTCACAGTAGGTTTTGAGTATGGATATGTATAAACTGAACACTATCCACGTATGTCAAACCACCCACAAATAAAAAACACTTTTGTTTTTTTTTGTACAGACCATTAACCTCTTTCACAGGTTATGATTATAAAAGGGTCTTATCACTAAAATCCTAATCGAGATGGTTAAAAAAAAAAACTAACAGTCTCTGTGTTTGTCGATTTTTCTCGCGACACTCTAATGATCCTTCCATAAAACATCTTGTTTCGACAATCCTTTTTTTTTTTTTGGCTTGCAGTGATTACTGCTGAAAGATTCGCTGTTGGATTGTGTGAAGTGTTTGTTGTTCCCTCTCTGCAAAGTTATCACAGTTTTGCTTTTATACTAAATATAACATGGCCTTCTTCCAAAACTTGACTTGGATGAGTACCAATGAAATTTCATGACGCAAATGGAATTTAAAACTGGATATACTGCATGACTGTTCATAGTTTTTCCAGTGGAGTCCACGGAAGTGGAATGCAAGACATCTTAGAATGTGAAATGACACCCTCAGTGGCCAACCCTAGCACGTGATCTTCGCCACAAAAAAACTGATAAGCTAAGGATTTTGTTCAGTCGATTCTTTCTGGTTATACTGAGCACAAGGTGTATTTTCTGGCTTCAAATCGTGTGTTTTACCTGGAAAAGTCCGCATCTAACAGTTTAACTCGTTTTCTCAAGTCAAGTTGCCTCTTAATTGGAATCCCAAAGACTTGAAAAATTGTGTGCTTTGCAAGGTATGCTTTAACGATTTCTTCTGTTGTTTTTCTACGTTTGTCCTCCTTTTGGTGCGGTGTGAATGCAAATACCTTTTATACTCCACTTGCATTAGATAGTTTTCCGTCGTTTCCGACCTAAATCGTTGTAAGAAACTTTAGGATACCTTCATTCTTTAGACGCCAGACGGTGCGCATGCATAGGGCATCAACACGCTTTCTCCACGTCTATCAGCACTACTCAAGGCGTAAAGATGCTATTCAGTTAAGGTTTAAAGAGCAGAGTTTTGCCTATTCGATCGTCCACCATGTAGAAAGATTTGTCGCGCTCTGTTTCCCTTTTGCCAGCCAGCGTGCATATAAGAACATGATCACGGCCTGTTTCCTTCACTACCGTCGTAATCATTTAATCTTTCAAAATTCTACGCGATGGATATAATTAACTTTCTTTATCGTGATCGTCAAGTTATGACCATAACAAGTTAACCCTTCAACGCTCAGAAGTGATTAAAATCTATTTTCTCCCTGCAATATTCATACATTATCCACCAAACAAGTAATGAGAATACTCAAAAATGTCGACTAGAAGTTGTTGTCTTGAACAAAACACCAAATTCTTGTAACTAATTTAAAAGGAAATATGTAGTAGCTGGAGGGGAGATTTGACCATCAGATCTTGGGAGTTAAACGGTTAACTACAAGCAAGGAAGAGCCAGAGAGAGAGACAACTTTGTGATTAAGGTGACATTAAGTAATCAAGAAATTGAGCCTCTTTACAAGAAATTTTAAGGAATAAAAATTTTCTTATATGTTATCTCGTCACGCAGTGTGTCAAGGAGTAACAAACATATGCTCTAAAATTTTGGGCGCCTTTTCAATATTTTAAACAGAAACAGTTGATCAAGAAACAATTAAGCGTTAACTTTGATTTGAAATCTGAAATTTTGAGCTAAAGCGAAGCACTTTGAACAATTAAGAAAAAAAAACTTGCGATATTGGTCCAAACTGGAAACTGCACGATCTAGCAACAGTGGGACAAAGGTATATAGCTATTAAGTAAAATAAAATCTTAAAACGAAGAAGATTGCCCGACTTCATTCATCGATGTAGATGACTCAGTTCTGAGATTAAATTCCTGCATCCGCTTGTATTGATTCTTGTGGCAAAATCCCCATTTGAGGAAATGGGACCCTTGTAGTTCGTTATACGGCAACAGCTGTGCCCTTAACTTCCGTGGCAGTTACGCTAACTTTTTGGTGTAGTTTTAAAGAAACAAGTGAT